GAATCTCTTCTATGCTTCGCTTCAGCTTGATCTCTGTCGCCTTTTCTGGGAACCTTATTGGATTTCCACATCTCTTGACAAGTTCTTGGTCATTTGTTTCTATTGCATCAGCTACATCATTCATAATCCCATTCAAATCTTTCACAACAGGATCCTCTAAGGGTTTCTCTCCATGGATTACAATATTCACCATATCCATTAGTTTTTTCATTTGCTCTTTTAAATCATCTTGGAATTTTTTTACTTGATCAGTCATCTCTTGTTGTGACTCGATAAATTGCTCTTGCAGTTTCTGGATTCTACCAACCCTTGCTAAAATCTCATTCATGGTTGTTATCCCTCTTTAGGAAGACCAAGTTAGCTCCACTTTGATTTCAAAAATTCTGTCATGGAATTCTCAACTAATTATTCCACGTTGTCATGATTAAATGCATGTAAAATAGTTTGAAATAAAATGTAATTATGCAAAGATGCAAATGCAAAAATGAAAATGTAAATACAAACGTAAAAATGTAAAAATACAAAATGCAAATGCAAATGTAAATATGTGAATGTAACAATAAGAATGAAAATTGTGCAATACAAAAGCAAACATAAAAGTATAAATGAAAATGCAAAGATGCAAAATGCAAATGCATGTATGAAAAGGTGTTACTCAAGAGTGATCATCTTAGAACAGATTTCATTGAACACAAAAGTTTCCGTGCATCAAACAAAACTTTACATATAGGGGACAACTTTCAGTCCTAACTTCAACAAAACTTTACATATAGGGGATAACTTTCCCTCCTAACTTCTCTAAAGCCAAATTAGCCTATCAGCTTATGGGTCATATTGCTTGTCTGGACTGCAGCTTCTTTCATGACATTCTCTTTTTCCTTCATCTTCTGTGTCACTTCTCGGAGTTGCTCATTTTCCTTTGTAAGAGAAACTTTGTGTCCAAGAAGTTCTTGGATAACATCTTCATATATGTTGCAGTTCTTTTTCAGTTTGGCGACCCCTATTATCCACTCTTCTGGGGTGTTTCTTATGCCAGCATTTTGAAAGGATTGACCGACCTTCTGAAAATCTTCCTGCATAGTTTCCATTTTGGTGCTCAATTTATCGTTTTCAATCTTTAAATGACGTATTTGAGCCTCAGACCTCGGCAAATCTTCTTCCTTCTGGACACCCCTACTGATACTCTTACCTTTGAATACTTTTGGTATTAATCAGGACCTTCAGTTACCCAACTAGGTCGATCATTTATCATAAATTGTAAGGTTCCATGATCCAAAAGACTTTGGATTCGACGTTTGAAGGCAAGACAATTCTCGATGGTATGTCCTTGAGCTCCAACATGATATTCACAATAAACGTTGATGTCATACTAATTCAGATACGGAGGTTGGAACGATTTTATGTAGTACAGAGCCACTTCTCATGCTTCAAGTAGCTTCTCATACAAATCTTTATATGATATAGGGATATCATCAAAATGAGAACCGCATTTTGTCTTGGATTGAACCTGAGTTTTAGAAGTCGGGAGCATACTAAACTTCGACGATTTCAGATTACATGATTTCTTCTCATCTCTAGGAGCTTTTACAATTGTCACAATTTCTTTGGTATCTCCAGACAGTTTGTGAATACGAATGATGATTGCCTGTGATTGGTTAGGATTATAAGCTCCTTGTATATATGAGATTACAGGGTTATGTTTATTGACCTCTCTCTCTTTTTGTGCAGGGGTCTCTTTTCCTTTGGCCAAAACAGATATTCTACCCATAATCTTGGACATCTGCTCTCATATTTCTCCTATCTCCTTTTTCCCTGTAATGGGCATACGATCTTTGGGTGCATAGCTCTCCTTTATCCTCGGAGTTCCCTCAGGATGAAATTCCATGTTTGCTTCATATTTTGTTCGATCATAAATTTTTTGTCCATTTATGAATTCTTTCCAATTTGATGAACAGTCTTTCAAGTCAACACCTTTTGGTTATGCCATGATCATGCAATGCAAAAAGAAATCAAAATAAAAAGGAAAAAGGAAAAATAAATTGGTTAGTACCAATTAATGGAAAGAAAAAATTATATCTATCATTGTATATAATATATTCTAAACTCATGCTTTCTAGTTCTATGCTTTTTTTGGAAAAATTAATCTAACTGCATGATTTCTAGTTCACATGCATTTATTCAGAAGAAAAAAATAAAATCAATAAAAAAAACAAAAGTTAGAACTTATTTCTCCTTTGTTTACACCTACGGACAGGGGTTCAATACAATCTTAGATCAGGAGAATTTCTAGGGTTTATTATATGCAAGGTTTCAATTCTAGGAGTAAAGGTACTCAAACTGTCCTTGTTGGTGCCCCTTGGGCTGCCAAACCCTCAATCCTAGTCTATTACAGACAAAAGTGTATCGAGTTCAATTTGAGGGGACACATTTCCCTATGCCTGACACGGAGAATAAATTATCACGAAGATATAGGATATATAAGTTACTTGCTAGGTCTGACACGGAGAATAAATTCTCACGAAGACGTCGCTTTCACTCCCACTTAAAAGGGACAAGCTTGATTATAAAGCTTATGTTATGCAATGTACGTGTTGTGTGTGAGGAGAAATATTCAAACCTTTAACAAACAAATAAATAATAAAAATAATGAAATTTAGCATATGAAAATAAAAATGAATTAATAAAAAAATATATAATAAATATTATGAAAATCATAAGTAATAAAAATTTTGAAAGAAAAGATTTATAAATTAAATAAATATGAATTTTTAATTTCTAATTAATAGAGATAAATTATAATTGATTTTAAAGCTTGACTAGTCCCCAGCAGAGTCGCCAAGCTATTGTAACCGGTTTTTACCTGGGCACGAATTTTTTTACTTGGCGGGAAAAATGATGTGGATCAAAAATGATTTTGATTTAAAAAATATTTTGGGAGTCGTCATCGACCTTTTTGGGTTAGGTAGGTCGAATACCTAAAAATTATCTTTTAAAAGAGGTTTTAGGAAAACATTAGTTAAAATATAAACCGGTATGCATTTTAACCAAAAAATTCGTTCTTTTTAATAATAAAAAGGGATTCGTGGTCGATTACGTTTGGGAAGGATTAACACACCCACAACGCCCAAAATTGGTACTCATTAATTATAAATTGTCTCTATTATTGGAAATTTAAAATTCAAAAATATATTTAATTCATAATCCTGTTATTAATATAATTTTAAGAATATATATATATATATATATATATATTTATAAGAAATTTATTTACTTAGAAATATCAGAAAATGACTTCTAGGTGCTTTAAGACAGCTCATTTCTTAATATTAAAAAATAAATAAATAATAATAAAAAATTTCTATAAAAATAATTAAAATAAATTAATATATATAATATATAAAAATAGGATATTTATTTATTTAAGAATATCAGAAAAGGACTTCTAGGTGCTTTAAGACAACCCATTTCTTAATATTAAAAAAATAAATAAATATTAAAATATGATTTTTTTTATAAAAGTAATTTATATAAAATTAAATTTATAAATAAGATTTTTAAAAATAAATAAATAGATATTATTTATTATATATATTAAATAATAATAATAATAATTAAATATATTAAATTAAATAATAACAAAATAATGACTAAAATAGATAAAATTAAAACTATTGTATTAAAGTACATAATATATAAATTAATAGACAAAATGAAAATTATTATTAAAAAATCATTAACAAAAATATAAAATATAAAACCTAAAGATCCTAATTTGAATTATTAAAAAGATATGTACTAACAGTGTAATTTAGCCTTAATATTAATTATTCGGGTTAAAATAAAATTTATTAACATTACCAGGGACTAAATAAAGTATTTACCATAAATATGTAAGTATATTAATAATGACTAAAATATAATAAAGTAAAACTTTAAGGCAAAATTAATATGCTCATAAATGTATTTTAGTGACTAAAATGAAAGGATTACAAACTATAGGGTATTGCGGACAAGGTTTGTCCATGTATGAAATTACAGAAAGGCCCTCACCAAAACTATGTCGTTTTGGTGAGGGTATTTATACCCCCTTTTAAAACCGACCTTAAGGCCAAATTTTCATTTTTCTCTTCCTCGTTCTCTCTTTAAAATAGAGAGAAGCATTTTTCTCTGGCTTCTCTCTAGGTTCCCTCACCGGAGGTATTACCTTCAGTTTTCACGGTGAAACTGACGAGCATGGTAAGTTTTCTTCTCTTTTCTTTTGATTCGTGGTTGACTGGGATCGTTGGTAGTTTTTCTCTTTGTATATAGTTTGCTATGTTGCTCTCTCTTTTTTGTTTCTTTGCTTGTTGTGTTCATCGTTTCTCTCTATGGTTCTGTCGTCCCCTTTCTTTGCAAGTGCAATGAAGCTTTTATAGCCTCGTAGAGACACTCTTCGGACCGGTCTCATGGGTGAAGTTCGGTGAGTCACCGAACTTCCAGTGGTGAGTCACCGAACTTCCAGTGGTGACTCACCGTTGGGGGCGACGCGTGTGGCTGGGGCTGGGCCTTCTAGAGCCTTCGGTTGGCGTCGTGGCAGCGATAGCGGCGTGTCAGCAGTTGAAGCATCAACGTGGAGGTGGCGTCTGAACAGAACCCTAGGGTTATGATACCCTAGGGTTTTGTCTGGATGCATCTTGACGTTGGATTAAGGCCAGATCCAACGGCTGTGAGCAATGGCGGCTGGAACTGAGATGATATAAACTCTAATTGGGTTTAGGGTTAGTTTTGAGCCTGGACCGGGTTGGGCTTGTAAATTGGGCCGGTTTGTAATTGGGCTGGGTGTGATTTGGGCCTGAAATGTAATAATAATAATTTATTATTAATAATAATCATGATAATAATTAATAATAATAATAATAATAAACAAATAAAATAAAAATAAAATGAAAAAAACTAGCGTCTTCAATGCTCATTATATCATCCACAACTTAAGAGTTCTTTATCAAGTAAATTATACATACCTGGAAGCAGGTGCACCGCTTTTGTTGTTAGCAATATCAGTTTGCTTGAGATTGGTTCCATTAGTGGCACGAGGTTGTTTTTGTAACACATTTGCAGGTTCTTCTTTCTTTACAGATGCTTGAGCTCCAAGAGATCTTACTGACAAAATCACATTAACCCCTGAATTACCAGGATATTTTCCATGTCCCACAGATTGTGGAGATTCAGAATCAGAACCGGCTTCACGAAGCATCCAACTTTTTTGTGTGTACACATAGCCTTTCACCTCAGAGAACCCATCCATGGTGTCAGAGAAACCCCTTTTGTTTCCAGTAACAACATTTTTCTGTGACGATGAGCAGATTCCATCTTTGGAAGGAAGTAGAGGAAGAAGTGGCTTCTCATCAAGTTTTCCCAGATTCAGCAAGCAAAGCTCTGTTTCTCTCTTAGGGGATTGGGATCCAGGAAGACCAAGCCTAAGCTCTGTAGCCTTCAAATTCAGATTATTCTTATTATTATCTGGCAAACTTGAGACACCAGAGCTGTCAACTGAAGAACAATCTGATAATCCAAGATAGTTACGCTCCTTTAACCCCAAGCCACAGTCAACAGAGGGAGAAGAAACATTACTCTGCACTTCCTCCTCCACGCCCAGCAGCGGTGAAGACATCAGAACCCAAAACTTCTCAAGACAACCTCTTTTACTGCAAAGAAAACCAAAAACAAGAGATCAAAATTTCTGCTCACTTCCAGAATCAAAACTTTTTAAGCCAAATATTTTTTTTAAGAAAAGGGAAAACACAAGATATGATACCACTACAAAATACAAGTAATCTCAATCTGCTTACTGAGATATCTAAACTGAACCACCAAGTAGACCAGTCCATAATTATTGACAGTTCCTGGTGAAAAGATGCCAATAACATCATCTATTAAACCCCAGCTACCTAGGTTGGTTAACTTGTGTCATTTATACGATTCCACTCTAAGCGTCAAAAACTCAAATAATGGTGTAAACCCCATTCAATCTGGAATTTAACCTGTCTTGATTCACAAAAAACTAAATTACATGTCAACGAAAAAGCCAAGTAGAGTGTTAACTTTAACAAATACTTTTTATCATGTGGAGAATGGTTTCTACTACCTGATTTAGCACGAAAAAGAACATACCAAAACCCGAATCTAATTTTTTTTTTTAAAATGGTACCAGAAATCAACTACTGTTAGTACTATTTCCACTGCTGAGAAACAATAGAATTTAAAATAAAAAAACAAAAGAGCACAAATATCTTTAGCTCATGAAAAAGGAAAAAAAGTTGAGCAAAGTCTCGGTGTCTAATGCATTAAATCCTTTTATGTTATTTGAAATTTCCATCTTACCTGAATAATAAGCAGAATGAAGAGGAGAAAGATGAACCAAAAAAAAAAAAAGCAAAAAAATAAAAGGAAAGTACTGTCCATCCATTTTCTTTTCGTTTTCCGAGCTACCAAAGCAAGTAGATAAAAAGATAAGATTGAAAAAATTGGCGATTTGATCAAATTGACATTTTTTAATTGAATATCTTTTTTTTTTAATATTGTTTAACTTATATTTCTTGAAGTGGCACTCTTTCGATTGATGTGACGAAAGGCGTATCCCAGGGACGTGCTTTACCTGGTTTTTATACTGAGTTGGATGCCACGTGTGAAAGGCGCATCTCCGGGGACGCGTCTTCACAAGGTTTTGCTGATTCAGTTGCCACGTGTGAAAGACGCATCCTCGGGGACGCGCCTTTCATTAAATATCTTAAATGCCCATCCGATTTTTCCCCAACTACCCCTCCTCATCCCCTATATAAACCCCCTCAACCCCCCTCATTCTTCACACCAAAATCATCTTCTCCTCTCTTATATAACTCAAATTCTCCAAATCTTTGAGTTTTAAATTTCTTATTAGTGGTAAGAAATTTATTTTTCAGTTATTATTATTTTTAAATAGTTATTATATTTTATATTAATATAATTATATAAATATTATTTTTTATTAAAATAATATTTATATAATTATTATTTATTGAAAATTATTAATTAATTATTTTTTGTGCTAATTTTTTTTTTGTCTACAGTTATAATGGAAAGTGAAATGCTGCTGCGATTGGATGCTGACCATATCTCCAGACATTTTAGCGATATGGTAACATTTTTTTATAATTAATGTTAATATTTATTGTTATGTTTAATTTAAATTTATTATGAATTTATATTAATTTTAATTTTTTATAATGCATATTATTTAGGATACTGATCGTATTTTAGAGACATTTATTAAAAATCCACGTATACCGACACCAGAATGTATTTTGCCATATTTGGCTTCTGCCGGGTTCGGATATATTGCAACAATTATTGGTGGTTGCAAACTCGAACTTGTCCTAATTTCTGCATTGATTGAGAGGTGGAGGCCAGAGACACACACTTTTCACCTTCCATGTGGAGATGCTACAATTACATTGGAGGATGTCTCTATGCATCTAGGGCTTCCCGTCGACGGAAATATGATGTGTGGTATGACGGATGGTGATTGTCAGTTAATGTGCATTGATTATCTTGGAGCTGCTCCGCCAGAGTTTAATGGAGGTAGAATAGTTTTATCTTGGTTAAAAGTTAATTTTGAGGTTTTAAATGAAAATGCTTCAGAGGATCAAGCAAAGGCATGTGCTCGGGCATATATTCTACGAATAATTGGAGGAATATTGATGCCCGATAAATCCCGCAACCAGGTGCATTGTATGTGGTTGCAGCATCTGATCGATTTTGATGAAGCTGGAATATATAGTTGGGGCGCTGCAGTTTTGGCATTTCTCTTTAGAGAAATGTGTCGGGCGACGAATTATAAGAAAACTGCTATCGGTGGATGTCTCCTGCTTCTGCAATCATGGGCGTGGTTCCGCATGCCTTTCTTATGCCCGATCGTGAATGAACCATACGTATTCCCCTTATTGTTGAGGTAATTATCGAACTAAATTTTGATTTAAATATTTTTAATTAAATAGGGTGATATTTAGTTTATATTATATTTCATAGGTGGATGATGAAAAGAAAGAACCATAGAAGTATACCAACTGGTTAGAGGAATTTCGTCTACTTATTGATACAAAAGTTGGGTCTGAGGTATGTTTTTATACGTGTTTAAATATTAATATTTTAATTTAAAATACTAGATATAATTAGAATATTTTATTTATTTGAATTGTATATTTATATTTCAGTTTCAATGGATACCTTACGCGAGCGATGAGGTGAAGGCTTGCATCCCACCCCACCTTGGTGGGTCATTAGAGGTTTGGATATCGGTTATACCTCTTATATGTTATGCTATTATTGAGTGGCATCCAGTTGATCGCGTGCTCCGTCAGTATGGTTGTACGCAATATATTCCTGGAGCACCTAGGAATTTAGACGATGTGCATAACATAGATAGACGAGGAAAGAAAGAGGTTAACTGGGTGGTGAGACACAGAGATTGGATTGCGCTTTGGGAGAACCGGTATACACAGTTGGCCCCTCGACAATATTACGCTGAAACTGGTCATATGGTTACGGATAACTATATGGATTGGTTTAATGAAAATGGGAAGCCGTTTATACTTTCGGCGGAAGCACGAGGGGTTAGCATTCCTAGGCGTCGAGAAAGACGTCAACCATCTCAATATCATCGTCCCCCGACGCGTGGACGGAGAGAAGGCGCTACCGGTTCTGCATCAGTCCCACCACAACATCCTTATCCACCGATGCCACAATGGTACATGCCCAACCCTCCACTTAAGATGCCATCTCCTCAGGGGTATATGCCAAGCACACCAATTCATATGTCATCTCCGCAGGGTTACATTCCTAGCCCGCCAGATTACATGCCTAGCCCGCATGGTTTTATACCATATAGAGGTGCATATACAACTATGTTTAATGATCCAACATATGGTTCATATGCATCTTATTTGGCTGGTGGTTCTTCTCCTCAGACACCTCAATCTCCATCTAGATAACAAACATCGATGCCAATGTTTCCACAGTTTTCACAGTTCCCGGGGAGCGGTGGGATGGTTACTAGCACTCCTCCAGGCCCTTCAGCCCCTTCAGTGTCATCTACGCCAAATGAAGGAAATACCGATGATGATGATAGTGAAGATGAGGAGACCGAATAACAAGTTCCACGAAGAAATCCTCCGCGAAATAGACAACCACCGCTATGTGGAACTCATTCGAGAAGACGACATCGGTGATCCATTTGTATTTTAGTATTATTTAAATAGTTATATTTCAGAAATTTATGTAATTTGGTTATGTTATTTAAATGTTTCATGGTTGTTACTGTCAATATTTTTAATGTTATTTTTTATTCAAATTTAACATTAAATGTTTAATAAATGTTTTTAAAATACAAATTATAGTATTCGAAATTTAAAATTAAAATACAAATAATATTATTCGAAATTTAAATTTAAAATATAAATTATATTATTCAAAATTTAACATTAAATTCAACTTAATATTCCAATTGTATTCGAAATTAAAAGTTATATTCCAATTATAGTTCACAGTACTTAAATTGAAATTAAATTTATCCATACATATGATTTTATCATTAACATATATATTAAAACGTATACATTAAAATCAACTTATCACTTCACATTTATTCGTAAAAACATGTCGATGCTCATTCCATACAATTTCAATGTCACAATAAACTTATCACTTCACATTTATTCAATTTATCCATAACATTTTATCTAATTTATTCAAACTTCACATAATGTTTTAATTTAAGTTATGAACTTAAATTTATCTATATGTATAGTTTTATCCTTAACTTGTTGAACTTCCAAAAGAAGTTAAATTTTGGTTATAATTTACCTGATTTCACTATCCATCTATAGTTCCCCGAGAACGTGCTTTAAAGTCCCCTAAGAAACAGTAGGTATTGACATGAATAGTTCTCGGGGGACATAAGTGATATAATAGGGCAATGATAACATATTCTCTGACAAAATAATGGAAGGCGCCCCCCGGGAACGCACCTTCACAGTCCCCTAAGGAATAATAGGTATTGACATGAATAGTTCCCGGGGGACATAAGTGACATAATAGAGCAATGATAACATATTCTCTGACAAAATAATAGAAGGCGCGCCCCCGAGAACGCGCCTTCACGGTCCCCTAAGGAATAATAAGTATTGATATAAATAGTTCCCGGGGGACATAAGTGACATAATAGGGCAATGATAACATATTCTCTGACAAAATAATGGAAGGCGTGCCCCCGGGAATGCGCCTTCACGTGAATAATACCCCCGTTATAGACACTATTATATGCAGCGTATTATAAACTTTCAAAACAAAATTCAGCTCACAAGCTTTGAAATTCTCAAACTCTAAATTTCTCAAAAATCTCAATCCTCTATTCTCTGAAAATGAGTCGTCTTTCTGTTGTTGTTTTGTATGATGGAGAAATTAAACAAGCTGAAGAGGGGGTTGTTTTTGAGTCAGATCATTATATCCCCTTAACCTTGAAGAGAAACACCACTCTTGAGGAGTTAATCACAAAAATTTTGTTAAAGATTCGTGTAGCAGGCCGGAGAAGACTATCTTCACTTCAGTACAGATTTCCTACTGAACTTTTTCCGCTCACGTATACATCATTTCAGCTTTCAAACGATGATGATGTTTCTATGATGGTTGATGCTCATATGGGAAGTTCACAATCTCTTATTGAAATATATGCCACTTTTATTGAGGTTCGTGCTTCTCGTGGTCTCTCATATTCCTCTCACTTTGGCATTGTATATCAAGCTGATCAAGTTGATAGCCCGACACAACTGGTCTGTAATGATTTCACGTTATTAATGGCGGATCCAACACCATATGTCATGCCATTAAGTTCAGTAGGAAGGCATTCATCTGCAATTTCTTATGATCTCAACCCACGTGGTTTCACCAATAATCCATATGGAAACATCTCTTCTACTTCAAGGGGCAGACATTCATCTGCCAATGTTTTCGACTTACATATGGAAATTCCAACGAGACGTCAGTCTATTCACATCCCACATGATACAATGGCCTCAAGTTCAAGGGGAGGACACACAAGCGGGAACTTATTTGACCTCAACATTGAATTATCAGAGAAACCATCATCTCCACCAGAAGAACCTCTTCGGGAGCCAGGTGCAAATGATGCCGAAACGGGATTATTCGTTGAACCTGACTCACCACAGTTTAACGTACATTCTGATGATGACGTTCCGATAAATACAACTCCAGCCGAACTTCCTGCACATATGTATGGGGCTGATTATGATGCAATGTATGAGCCTAAATTTTTGGATCTTCCTGATGTTGGCAACTATGGACTTCAATCAACAGTTAATGACGGTGATTTACATATTGGAATGGAGTTCGCATCGAAGGAGGAAGCAATGATGGCAATAAAGAGTTACAATATTCGTAACTAATTTCAGTCCCGAGTTGATCGATCTAACACAGAGAAATATGTCTGCTACTGCGTCCAACGTGACAACGAATGTCAATGGATGGTTCGTGTATCAAAGAGGAAGAGGAAGAACAACTTATGGGAACTAACCAGATACAACGGTCCTCATACGTGTTGTGCAAGAGGTATAAACCAGGATCATCCCAACTTGGACTCCAACATTATTTGCCAAGCAATTATGCCCATTGTGAAGCAAAGCTCTCATATAACTGTTGCAGTGTTGATTTTTGCTATACAGTCACAATATGGGTACACCGTCTCATATAAAAAAGCTTGGTTGACAAAACAGAATGTCATTTGCAAACTTCATGGCGAATGGGATTCATCTTACAACGAGCTGCCCAATTGGTTTCATGTTGTGCAAAGAATCAATCCCGTGACAATTGTTGAGTTCGAAACTCAACATCATTACGTGAATGATCGAGTGGTTCATGATCGCTGCCAATTCTACCGTGTCTTTTGGACTTACCCTCAGTGTATTAATGCAGTCAAGTACTGTAAACCAGTTGTCCAAATTGATGGTACTTTCTTGTATGGAAATACAAGCAAGTTTTATTATTGGCTGTGGTCAAAGATGGAAACCGCAATATTCTTCCCGCTGCGTTTGCCCTCGTTCAAGGAGAAGACACTGAGTCTTGGGCTTTTTTCCTTAAAAATTTACGTTTACATGTTGTCACCAGGGAACAAGTATGCATTATTTCAGACCGAGGAGCAGGGATAAAAGCAACAATGGACTCTTTGGGTACAATGTATAGACCTCCACATGTTCAACATCGTTATTGTGTCCGTCATATTGCTGTAAACTATTACGAAAAATACAAGAAGAACGATGAACGCCAATTAGTCATGCGGATGGGTATGTTACTTTTCCCCAATTTTTCTATCATTTTCGTATTACTTATTTATACTTCATATTAACTATTACATATTCCTAATGGCTTAGGTTACGAACTCTTACCTCAAAGGTTTGAGTTGATTCTACAAGAGTTTTTTGGCAAAAATAAGAAGGGGTGCGAGTACATTATGGACATCAGCAAAGAAATATGGACAAATGCGTATGACGGGGGGTATCGCTATGGTCATATGACAACAAACTTGGCTGAAGCAATAAATTCAACCTTAAAGGGGGCACGTCATTTACTAGTCACGACATTGGTCAAAATGACTTATTTTCGTTTGGGTCAACTCTTTGCAAAGCTCCGTGGACAAGCTCTTACTTGGATGCAAAACGGTCATATTTACCACCCAAGACTAGTAGATGATTTACAGAAAAAAGTGGCTGCATCAAATGGGATGTTGGTTACAAATTTTTCTCGCACCCGTGAATTGTTTCGTGTAACCGAAATGCCACGTCCGTTGTAAGAGATTGAAGCTAACTCTTTCAGAGTTAATTTGCATGAGAGGTGGTGCGATTGTGGTTTCTTTCAAGCACTCAAATATCCATGCTCTCATGTCATTGCAGCTTGCTCACATTCGCATTTGGACTACAAAAATTATGTTGATCCCGTATACTAACTTTCACAAGTATTCAAGGTATATGAATTTGAGTTTCCGCCCATAGGAAACGAAAGAGACCCAGATGAGATTCAAACTTGGCTTATAATTGTACCAGATCCATTGCTATTGAGGTGCTCAGGTCGTCCAAAATCTACTAGAATACATTGTGATATGGATATTCGGGAGAAATCAACAGAACAAAAACGATGTAGGCATTGTAGAAACATCAGACACAATAGAAAAAATGTCCAGCTCTATTATCATCACATAACCGTTAACCCTTATGTAACATAATATTATATTTAAATGAATGTTTTTGTTTCTAATATTTAAATGTAATTGCATTTTCTATAATTTCTCAATGTATAATAATAATAACAGATTAAATGTATAATTATACTAATTTTATTAACTTATGCATCAATATTTTGGTTAAATAATAATAACAGATGACTATATTGATAATATTTAAATAATTAAGTGATAAAATTAATAGATCGATAATCAAAATAAAAAATAATAATATAATCATACGTGTAATATAATAATTTTATACATTTTTCATATAACTACAATAAAATAAAAACTAGTTTTCATCTGTTGTTCTATCCGATTAATGTGGATAATACACTCCACTTTTAACACACATTAAAAAAATATATTCGATAATTATTAAATTATAAATGAAACAATTTACATAATATATTACTAATTTATAATAACATTAAAAATAAAATTTTTATTATTAAAAAAAATACCACCGTGACAACTGAATTAGCAAAGCGCGTCTCTGGGGATGCACCTTTCGCCACCTCAGTCGAAAAGGTGTCACTTCGAGAAATATAGGTCAAACGGTACTAAAAAAGAAGATATTCGATTAAAAGGTGTCTGTTTGATCAAATCGCCTGAAAAATTTGGAAATATTCTTGAAATGAAGCAGAACTGCAAAACAAGAACAATAGTAGAACAAAGAAAATGTAAATATATGCAAAAAAAAAAAAAAACTCACCGGAGAAAGGTTGGTTAAGGAACAAAGAGGAGAAGGTGGATTACTGCTTTCAAAATTGCAGGCGAAATTGTACGGAATGCAGAGAAATAAACAAATTAAAGCTTAAGGCCCTTCCATTAAGCAGAAAGCAACATAAGCCGAAAAACTCGGGAAGTAGAAAGACGGAGGGGCAAAACCGAAAATAAAAACAAAAAAGTGCCTAATTTTTATATTCCCTTTGAAAGAATGGGACCGTGTCGTTTTTATACTGCGCCGTCTAGAAGTTGGGATGGAGGAATCTGATCTAACGGTTGAGATTTGCTTCACAATAGAGGTTTGGACCGTCGATTCTTTTTACAAAAATTGGAATTTATTCGTCCTCACCTTACTGTACAAAATTATTTCATATATGGTTAAAAAATGCAAGATGACATGTAAAGTGTAAGGGACACGTGACAGTGTTACTCATCAAATATTTTAAAAAGAGAAAATAACTTCAGTGACCAAAAATCTCAGATAATATACTATTTTGACTAATTTTTTTTGGATTTACGAAAATGACCAACAAAATCGCAATGCGATCTCTAATTCGTATTGCGATCTCCACTATCGCAAATTCGCGTTGCATTTCGCGTTGCGATAGTTGAAAATCGCGTTGCGATTTTTCATTTCGCGTTGCGATAGTCTACAGTTGTCGTTGTGATTTTCCAAATTCGTTGCGATAGTCTACAGTTGTCGTTACGATTTTCCAAATTCGTTGCGAAAATTCGTTGTGATAGTTAAAAAAAAAAGATTTTGTTTCTTAAGAATTTTCTCTAAAAAAATAGTATCCGCGCGACCACTACCACGACCACGACCACGACACAACTGATTCAGTTGTTTTAAGGTGCATGATTGTTAATTGTTTCCTGAATAATCACATTGTATTGGAAACAAGTGTTGGTAATGCTCAATCCCACATAGTATTGGAAACACTATTGGGAATGGTATTTAAGGCTTGGCTTTCCCACTTCCTTGTTGAGTGATAGAGAACAAGGGGGACTCTCGCGCGCCGTCGCCGCTGTCCGTCTCGTCTCGGGTCGTGGTCGTGGTCGTGGTCGTTGTCGTGGTAATACGTGTCTTCAACACGTCCGCGCGGATACTATCTTTTTAGAGAAAATTCTTAAGAAACAAAATCTTTTTTTTTAACTATCACAACGAATTTTCGCAACGAATTTGGAAAATCGCAACAACAACTGTAGACTATCGCAACGAATTTGGAAAATCGCAACGACAACTGTAGACTATCGCAACGTCAAATGGAAAATCGAAACGCGATTTTCAACTATCGCAACACGAAATGGAAAAGCGCAACGCGATTTTCAACTATCGCAACGCGATAAATCGCAACGCGATTTTTAACTATCGCAACGTGAAATGCAACGCGAATTTGCGATAGTGGAGATCGCAATGCGAATTAGAGATCGCATTGCGATTTTGTTGGTCATTTTCGCAAATCCAAAAAAGATTGGTCAAAATCGTATATTATCTAGGATTTTTTGTCACTGAGGTTATTTTCTCTTTTAAAAATATCATTCTATTGTTTTAAATTTAATTTTTAACATTATAAAATAAATATTAAAATTTTAATTTTATTTTAGATAAATATTGAACCGTTATTGATAATTATAATGTTCAGTTAAATTTATTAACTGACCAAAATAATTAAAAAAATAATCCGTTAACATCAAATAGTTAAATCAAATCAATCAAAACTAAAAGAAAATAATACGTTAACAAATATAATTCATAGTTATTAAATTCAATTATAATTTTACCCTAATTAAACAAACATGAAACTTTGCTTGTTTATTGGTTAACGATATTGTTTGAGTAAAAAATTGTAATCTTTCCAAATAACAATGGAATGGCAATCGCTAGTGTATGTCTGATTTTTTATCACTTCAATTTTGATTTAAAATTTTAAAAAGTGCATAATTTTAATTCTTTTATTAATTTATGTAATTAAAAGACAATATTTATTCATAAATAACTCTTAATCATTTGATAATGTACGTTCACATCCTTAATATTCTTAGTGTTTGAATAAAAAAGATAAAAACCATAAATTTCTAAGCTCTTAAAAGTAAGATTCATCAGAGAAAAGTAACCCACGGTAACCTTAAGTATGTATTTTTTATAATATATATAAATGTGTATTATTCTTTAGTATATATGTAGAATTTTTTAAATAACTTAGATATTATATTAAAATAAACTATAAATTATTATTTATATTTATTGATATACTAAAGACATTTATACCTTGAATAAAATACAAAAGAGACGATACAGTTGTCAAATTTAAAGCATTAAAGTGTGGGAAGTGGAGGGTACAAAAAGAAACAAGAGAATATATTTGATTGGGGGACAAGAAAGCGGCATTTTGACATCTAACATCTTTTCATTATTATCCTTTTCATGTACCCATTAAATTCACATTTATAATAAGATTTTTATATTTGTATAAATCTGTATTCTATTCATGAATTGTATCAAGATATATTACCAATAAAATAATATATATAATGGCTTGTTTGGTTGGTTAATTTTGTGATCTGTATCGCTCAAGCTCAACATAATATTATGTTTGGTGTTTCTGCTTGAAGAATACAGGATCACCAGAATACATAAATGGACTCTTATTTCTTACTTTTTTGTGCAATTACATTGTTTGATATTATTAAACGATCCATGGGTTATCAAACATTTGATTGCTGAAGCTTGTACATTTGAAAATTATCAGACACTAGATTGTTGTTGCTCAATAAGTTTGATTGATGCACTGCTGCCTACATCCCAGTGAACTATCATAATCAATTGTTCTTATTTGATTTATTGAAGAATTTTCGCACACATTTATGGTGTTTGAAAGGTTTGAATGAAAAACATCAGTTTTCTTTTAACTTAAAATATTATGGTGTCTTTTTTTGTCTTCTTAGATTCGGTTTAATGTTTGCCTTCTTTTTTCCGGCCAGTTGTATTTACAAGTGTTGCTTGTTTCTCAGCCAATGTTGTACGCTTATTTGTTGCATTTATTTGTATCCTTGATGCAGGTTGCATTACTACCAAGGAGCTTGGGACTGTAATGCGATCACTTGGCCAGAATCCTACCGAGGAACTTCATCAAGATATGATTAATGAAGTTGATGCCGATGGAAATGGGACCATTGATTTTCCCGAATTCCTTAACTTGATGGAAATGAAGATGAAGGATACTGATTCTGAGGAGGAGCTCTACAATCATAATCAAAGTTATGATGGTCAAGTAAGGACCTCTACAATCATAATCAAGATCCAATAATGGGTAAAATAAGGGATCAGGGCTGATAAGTTTGCTAAGATTCCTTTTAATATCAATAGGACATCTATGTTTCTTGTTACTTAGCTTTTGTTTGTTTGCTGTCTGTTTCTTTGTTTGCATTATTTCGTGGATTGGACCTTAATATCCTACTTGTTTGCTTGTGTTTTTCTTTTTTGTCCATTAGTGTATGGGTTGCGTCTTATTTATCTTTAATAATTTGGTGTTTTCTTTCTATTCTCATTGTCATGAAACCTAAAACCATTTGGAAAGTTTCGTTGTTATTGCTTATTGTTGGGAATTTTGAAGAGCAAGAAGGTTAAGGTCCCGACTGTTAGGGTTGGCCAAATTTCAATTTAGTTATCTTCAACTTTTAAAGAAATTTAAATTCTGCAATTTTGTCCTTTACAAAACTGATTTATACGGCATAAGCCATTTTAATTTATATACTAATTTCTTTGATTTTATTCCACAATGTACCAGGCTATCTTACTAATACTTAACGTCTTCGTTTTATATGATTTTATCCTTTCCTCTTATATTCTAAGCTTGTTGCATGTATAAATACATGCATTCTTTAAAGATTTTTTATTACATATTTGATTGCTTTTCCTACAGGTTGCTCGCATCTCTACCATGGTTGAGCCTCAAATCACTGCTGCTGCAGCTGAAGCTGCAGTTGTGATGCTTTCCGATGAAATGTCATGTCCAAGGGAAATATTTGATGGTGATCAGATTGATTTAACTAATGGGTCATTATCCCCTACTTTAAGTTTGTTCAAAAGTTAATATTGTTAATCTTACTTTTCTTATCCTTTGCACCTTAATTTACTGTTAGCTTTTGCATCATTCTGGAGTTTTGATGTGTTCGATCTTTTATATGTTTTAGAGCTCATGATATCGAAGCATCGGAGGAGAGATCTATTCCATCAGGTATATATACTTTTTAAATTTAGTTCTGCAACAACATTTGGCTGTTTTGGTTGAAGAACCAGATTATGGGATCAAAAGTAGATGTTATTCATATTGCTTCTTGCTAGCTTTTTCTTTATGATATCTTCTCGGGTTTTCATATGATTTGTGCTTTACTTTTGATCTTGTGCATGTTTATATTGGAGTTCTCCATTTCAAATCATTATTAGAATTTATAAGGAAATACTCGTGCAGAATCTCAAGACATACACATCCGAAGAATAATGATGTACCTTTATCATTGTGTTTGTGATCCTTAACAAGTGGTCAGAAGCCATGGACTGTTGGAAATAAGATTAGTAGTTAATTTGTTACTAGTTAGGACTTAGTTTGTTATTGGTTTGTTATGATTTGTTGGTTACTTGGGCTATAGAAGCCATACTTTTGTATTAGGTTGAATATAGAGTTTATCCACTATTCAATAAACACACTTCTGTCATCTCTCTCTCTTTACGTTTTCTCCTTCCCATTTGTTAACTCAGGCCACCGGCCTTTCATCACTCTCAGCCTCCATGGCTGCTTTCTCACATGGTATCATTCGCTAAAAGATCCTGGCGTCTTTTTCTCTTCCGCCGTTGCACTGACGATTGAGTTCCTTTACTCTCACGCCGTTGCTACTGCAAAGTTTATAGATTTTTTTCCCGATCTCCAATTTTGTTGTCGTTGTTCTATTGCTTCTGCTACTAGTTGCTTCCATTCTCATCAATCTATGAAAGAAATTGATTAGTAGGTTGTAGTCATTCGCTGCTACCTTTTTGGATTTATTATCGATTTCACTGCCACCGGTTATTTCTACTTCCTTAGTTAATGATCAACTTCTTCAATCGCGAGTTTGTACAACGTTACAAATCTGATGGTTCACTTTATCTACGGTGAGATTTGTTGTTGTTTCTAATACACTCAATAAAGAAAGAAAAGTACGATTCTGTTTGGGAAGAGAAAAAAAAGAAAAGAAACAGATTGGAAGTTAGATTGAATTTTTGTAGTGGCATTTCTTTGTTTAGTTAGTTCTCGTGTTTCTATAGTTTAGCATGATTGACTTCTGCTGATTTTGCTATCTTGTTGCTCCTGAAAGTTGGTGTTCTGTTATGGTATGGTTTATCTTCTTGGATTTCTTATTAAAGTTTGGATACTATGCTGGTTGGTTCGTTGTGTGGTGAGGATATTGCAATTTTGCGTTATATGCGCCTCTAATGTGTTTGGCTAAATGCTTCAGTGATATTATTGTTCTGTTATGTGTTACACTTCTGGTTGGAAACAAATGTTGACTGGTTTGTGAGGACAAGTTCTTTGTAAGTTGATGTTGAATGCTAGACATTGATACAACATTGCTTTGCTCAGCTATTGACATTTTGGTTTCTACATTGACTGTTATTTCTTCTCCAAAGTTTGACATTGAACTTTGAGGCTTAACATCCAAGTTACCATAGAAGAAAATTTCTGGGGAGGGTTTAAGAGCTTAACAGCCTTGCTTTCCTTAACCAGACAAAATAGGGTGTTTTCTTGCCCAAGAGAGGCTTCAGATTGCATCCGGGAGCTCGAAGCTTAATCATCTTGCTTCCAACAAAAAGAAGGTTCGAATAAGTGAAGAAGAATGACAGTGAAAATGAAGAAAAGAAGGAAAAAGTCTTGAAGAAAAAAGAGAGAAGTTGAATTCCACCTCACTAAGCTTGATTTCCTTTGCTGCATGTTGCCGATTGATTTGGTTTAAGTTGGTATTGCTGTTGAATTGTGGACACTTTTACTACAGATTTGGGTTGCTTGATTAATTTCAGTTTGTATTTCTTTGTTACCTGTTTGCTTCTCTCAAAAGGTGACCATGAAACTTTGAGGCTTAACAACCATGTTCACTTGGAAAGAAAATTATTTAGGGAGGATTAAGTGTTTAACAGCATTGTCCTTCTTAACCAGACAAAATATGGTGTTTTCTTACCCAAAAGCGGCTTCAGATTACTTCCGGATGCTCGTAGATTAACCGTCTTTCTTCCAGCAAAAAGAAAGTCCGAATAAGTGAGGAAGGACAATGAAGGTGAAACAAACTAGAAAACATGAAGAGGTTTCTTTTTGGTGTTAGTAATCTGCTGAAGTGTTCAAGAACAAGTGTCCATGTCTACATCAACTTACTATTTTTTTCTTCAAGAGTATCAAGATCTAAAAAAGCAGGGAGAATGTTGGAAATAAGATTAGTAGTTAATTTGTTACTAGTTAGGACTTAGTTTGTTATGATTTGTTGGTTACTTGGGCTATATAAGCATACTTTTGTATTAGGTTGAATATAGAGTTTATCCACTATTCAATAAACACACTTCTGTCATCTCTCTCTCTTTACGTTTTCTCTTACCCATTTGTTAAATCATGCCACCGACCTTTCATCACTCTCAGCCTCCATGGCTACTTTCTCACATTGACAAAGATAAATTGTCGGAGAATGAAGTGGCTGAAGAAGTACACGGACTTGTAGTGAGTGTAAACTGAGTGGTGGAACAACATAATGCAGATATGCAACAAAGGATTTTTGCTGATAAGGTTATGGAAAAGAAAATAAAGATGTTGGAAAAAGAGGGGCAAGGGATGCAACAAAGAACTTGTAATGAAAGTCAAAACTGAAGCGAGGGAAGTAGAGAGAGAAGCAACATATCAGAAAAAATGTGAAGACTTTAAAATCAAATTTAAGCTATGATACATATGATACAACGAAATCAACCCCAGAGTCCACCATGTTAGATGTTATTTTAGATATATGCTTTGTTTATTCTAGTTAACAATGTTGAACTGCATTATATTTCACTTTAATGTAAACTTTGATTTATTATTATGGATTTCAAGTTTGTTGTTACGGATTTTAAGTTTGTTGGATAATGCTACAGGTTAAAATTTTAAATTTGGATAATAAAAGAATAGAAAATATCATTTGAAAATTCAATTTTAATTAGCGTCATTTGTATAACAAAACACCACTAAATACATGGTCAATACCGATGCTTGTAGAATAAAATGCCACTAAAGTTCAATATTTTTTTTGGTGCTTATACAAAAAAAACGACACTATACATGTAGTCAATAGCGACGTTTTACATTCACAAACGTCATTATATGTCAGAATATTTAGCGGCGTTTTTTGGAACAAGCACCACTAAAAAAAGATAAATAGCGACATTTTGAAGAAACGCCATAAACTTTTACAAAGTTTGTTTTAGCGGTATTTTTTACGCCAATAGGATTTTTCGCGACGTTTAAAACGTCGCTATATGACTGAAAAAACGTCACTAAAACATGTTTTGATGTGAAATTAGACTTTAAGTTTTGTATGACTATTATTTCAAAAGTCAATCGTAGTAGAATTTGATGAAGAGGGATGGTTTTTGTGTCAAGTTTATAATATATAGATTTTGGTAATTAGACAATTAATGTATTTTTATAATATTTTAAATTATGACTGATAAATAAGAAAATATTGTTAAAATATCAAAACCTCAAATGTTATCTTTTCATTCTTTACATCGAATTGAGAGAGAAGCTTAGGAAGAATATCAATAATCATCTTCCTTACTCAAGGTAGCTAATGGATGAGTTCTTGAAGAATTCAAGTGAGAGAAAATATGAAATTCATTCAAACCCCCTTAGGTATTTGTAAGTGTAAGCTTAGAATATGTCAATTTATAACATAACATTTTGAGTTATATGTTCTTTGAATCAAAGATAGGTAAAAATTAATAAAGTCTAAAGTTGAATATTAATAGTTATTGTAACCATAGTTAGGTTTTTTAAGAGATCTAGAATTGTGCATGCAAACTTCGAAATTCATTATAGAAATTGTGATAACCTTAATATAATATGCGGGTTGTACATGATTTGTTATTATCAATTAAAAAAGACATATTGGGAGAGTTTGAGTAGAAGATATGATGTTGGGTTAGTTGTTTTGCTTTTAGGGATTCATCTTGACTGGTTCTTTTCGATTAGGAGGATCTCCACCCTCACAACAACAATTATTTGCGTGATAAATAGATTCTGACGATTTTTTTGGCAATTCATCCCTTACAATTTGGCGAAAAAATCATGATCAATAATTGTTGGACAAAGATGAAGAATAAATCAATTCATGAAGATTATGAATAATTTGAGAGATGGAGAGAGAATTTTTCTAACATTGGATGATAATTTATATATGAACTCTTAGTGTTCAATATTAAGGTGATAATGACTATTTGTAGGTTAATATGATAAATAAATATGACTATCGGTGTATTACGTAGGTCTGCCAATGATCATGTCAATGGCCATAACTAGTTATAAGACATATAGTTTAGGAGGATGTGGAACTTTAGAGGAATATCAGTGGCTTAATGTGGTTTGTGAAAAAGATCTTTTTGGAGGAAATCCAGATGAGGTATAATAATAATTTTATTAAAATATTTCATATAAAAAATACATTTTTTAATATTTTTAATATAAAATTATTACAAATTTATTTTTTATATAATATTTAAAAATAAAAATAATTAAAAGTAGAAACTAAATCTATATTATAATCATATTCAAATTTCAAAGTAATATTTTTATCAAATAATCACAAAAAACAAAAATAAGTTTAGATTTTATCAAAAAAATCAATAACAATCAGTATATTAGGAAAATGAATTGGGCATGACAAGGTCATAATGAGCGTGGAAAGTGAATCCATCAAGTCAGTCTTAGTCTCGATTATTTGTTCAACACAAACACACTTTCACATTAGATCATTGCCACGCCCAAGGCTCTCAAGCCAAGAGTCGAGCCTGTGGGGCATAGTGGACGCCCACACTCGGCCTCAGACT